AAATACTTGAAATATGAGCCTTCATAAGCCATGCTCTACTCCAGCCAGCATGGGATTTAGAAATACAGGGAATGTGTCATCTATTGCTCTAACAAAAATATGGGTGAAGCATAGGCAAGTCCTCACAATTAACAGACACTCCTTTTTCTGGCATCCAGACAGATATGGAAAGTTGTAGGAGGGCAAAGTAAAACCAAAGTTATTTAAGGACAAGCCCTAGCTGTTAGCAAGAGACTTCACTTCAGCTCCTATAAGGACATCTGAGCCACTCGAGTGCGACGTTTCTGCAGGTTTGAGTAGGTTCCTTGGCCACTCAAGCAGACACAGTAGGTACCTGCTGTTGAGAACCAGGTTCTCTGAGCACCATTTCGTATAGTTCCTAAGTAGCGACATGAATCTCTTTGTTCTTCTTTTCTAGTAGTTTTCATTTCTCTTTATGGCTTTTGGTGGGCTGAGAGGTGGTGAAAGGACAGAGGAGAAAGCCAAGAGAGGACAGAGGGAGAGTGCATGAGTGCCAGGGCACCTGCACATGAACATTCTTGTTCGGGAGTTTTGATCTTCTCCTCCTCTGACCAACAGCCAACATGGGGAATGTCACTGCTACAGTTTGAATTTGTGCTTCCAAAAATTCATGTGTTAGAATTTGACTTATGGTGAAGGTATTGAGACTTGGGTGCCAGTGCTATGGTAAAATGTGATGCTCTGTGAAGTTACTTCCCATGGGAAGTTCTGGTTTTGTGCCTGGAGACTTCCCTGAGTAGGCTGGGTGCAGGTGTGCCCCTGATCCCAACTGGCTGAAGCTGGGGATGGATCATAGTATCAAGACCCTGTTGGAGATGCTGTCTCTCTCTATCTCTACCTGTCTCTCTTTATCTCTCTCGCTCATGGAAAAAATAAACTTTTTTTGAAAGATGAGGCTTAATCTGATTATGGTTTTGAAGGGTGGAGCCTTTGGGAAGTGATAAGGCATTAAGGTGGGGCACCTGTGATTCCATCCTAGGGAGTTTATCAGGAGAAGGAATGTGACAGATACATTATGCTCTGCATTTGTTCTTGCCCTGTTCTGTCTTGCCCTGATACCCACCAGCAAGGAGATTCTCATCTGATGCAGCCCCTGGATTGTGGACCTGCAAATTGTGAGCCAAATAAACCTCTTTCTATAATTCACTCAGACTCAGGTATTTCTGTTGTTAGCAACAGAATAGACAAGAGCAGGTTAACTCTGTAGGTTAACTCCTGTGCAGATTCCTCTTCCAAGCTCTCCTCAGCAATCTCATAGTTGAGGCAATACGCCTAAAAGTGCAGTCAACCTTCCCATATCTTGGTGTTGGGTATTCTTATGGATGCCTGGCTGCAAGCTCAGTGTGATCATTGAAGACTCTGTTGAGCAAGTGATAAAAACTAGTATTTGTGTGGCATTTTACAATTTACAAAATCTTTACTATTTTTGTTATTTCAATGTGTATTGCTATCACATTCCTGCGGAGTAAATATGACACTCACTTCCCAGATAGATAAACAGAGAATCAGAAAGGCAAAACTGGCCCAATGCATTCAACTGGCAGATAGTAGGGCCAGCAGCTGAATCCATGTCTCCAAAGGTGAATCTGCTCCTTCTATGCTGTATGACTTGTGTAATGGACCACTGCTACGTAGTTCATTCTCAGATCAGCCTTTAACACAAAGCACTCTGCGCTGGAAAAATGAAAGAAGGTCCACGTAACTCAAAGTCCAGTGTTTTGGAAAGCTATTCAGAAAAGTTACATGTGCAGTAGTCAGGAGCACAGGAGTCCTGGAATCAGAGAGTCTGGGCTCAAATATCACTTCTACTTTCCATACAGTAGCCCTCGGTGAGTTATATCCTTACCTGGGCCTCATCCTTACCCCATTGGGATATTTGAAGGATTAAATAAAGTAAGTCCTGGTAAGCACAGAGTACTTGATGAACGCTTGCTCAGATATAAACTTTCTGATTTTTTTTCTGACTGACCGTTTGCCACAACTGTCATAAGATCCATTGGTAAGCAATTGTCTTCTCTGGTCAACACTTCCTACATCAGGATCCACATGGACTTAACCTTTTGTTCCAAAATTATTGAATGATTTCAGTAGTCTGGGAGTGTGGTTTCTGAGTTCAAGGAGCATTTAAACAGTGAATAATTAGATAAATGTCAAAACTTTCATCCTTGGAGTGATCCCAAAGCATAACAATATGTGCTGAAATTTAATTATGTTAATAGTAAGCCACTTTAATTTGTTTCAAGATAAAAAATATATTTGCCTTAAGAGTAAAAATTCTTATACAAAAATTAAAAAAAGATTAAAAAAATAAGAAAAAGAAAAGATGTAAGGAAAGGCCTAATCCAATGGCCCAGAACGCCTTCTGCATTTACCTGTATTTGTTTTTAATAGAAGATGAAATATGGCTTCCTTCCACCATTGTAATATACATGTTGCCAGGAGTATACTTGAACCAAAGGGGGAAAAAAGAAAAGTCTGTATGCTTGGAGAAGAGAGTAAATTTTTTGTAGCTTGATTTCTTTCCCCATTCATAATCTTGAACTCTGCATTAGCTCTCAGTGAATACTAAGGTAAGTGGAAATCTCTAAAGTTCTCCAGGTACAATACCTTTTGGAATATAGCTAGTAGTCTCAATAAATTTGGTGAAGTTAATGGAAAGGATCTTTGCCCTTTCTCTTTGTTCTGTCTTAAAGGCAGCCTTCTAGGTAAAACCCAAATATAATTCTCCCTGCCCATTTTTCTTCACTCCTCTTCTAAATGCCAGGCTCTATCATGCAATCCTGGGACCAAACATTTGGTAAGGTGGTACCTATGGCCACGGTCATTCTGCAACTTGTGCCTGCTTCCCAGGCTCCAGAATCAGAATCTGTGCTCCTCAAGGGTAGGGCCATAACTTAGCATCTTTAAACTCAATATCTAGTACTTTATGCCTAATCTGTGCTCAGAAAATATTCACAGGATGCAAAGAAGGACCAGATGCTTTCCTGGGGATTTCTCTTTCCTTCTGAAACCCACATTAAATATCATCAAAGTTCTCTGGCTATAATATTCTATGTCTTATCTCAGTGAGAATTTGGAGCAGGTCAGAGCTGACAGGGAGATGAACATAGCCTGGGTTCTTCATCATCCTCACCTAGGCTCTGGGTTATCTGAAATGTTAATTCCTGACTGATTTAAAATGACAGGTCATATAAAGACAATACTTTTCAACAGACTTTTTATTTTGGGAGTGGGGAGGAGGAAAACTATACTACTTAGATTTAAGAATTTAGGTAATGAAGTCACTGTGTGGGTTCAAATTCCATTCCCACTCTCTGTGACTACAGACCGGTTTGCCTAGCCTCATAGAGACTCTACTCTCGACTGTAAAACAGACAACCCTCCTGAAAGTTAATTGACTTGATGCATACCGAGCAATTTTGAATTTGTGCCTGATATGTGGAAAGAGTATTAATAATGATACTGTTGACATGATGATAGTGGAGGTGGTGATGGTGTAGAGGTAGTAGTTGCTATTTCCTCAAACAGCTCTGATCTGCTTTTTGTGGGCTTTGTATGTCTGTGTCTAATTTCTTTCTTTCTTTCTTTCTTTCTTTCTTTCTTTCTTTCTTTCTTTCTTTCTTTCTTTCTTTCTTTTCTCTCTTTTTCTTTTATGGAGAGGTTTTTGCTATAGGACACATGTGCTCACCAGAAAGACAGAGACAGAAAGACAGAAAGCGAGAAATCCCCCCCCCCTCCCACGGGGGAATGGCCACGCCGCAATCTCTTCTCCTTCATTCTCTTCTCAGGATATTGAGCACACCCGCCACTGGCTCCAGAACTCAAATCACAGTCGACTACATGGGACTCCAGCAACACAGCCATTACGCCAACTGCTGGTTCCTAATGTTCAAATATAATAAGATATGATTACCAAAATTAAAGAAATTTCACCAAACACAAAAATACCCCTTTTTTATTTTTAAATAAAATAAAGGTGGCTCTGGGAAAAGGACATGTTAGCTCCAAGAAAAACCTATTCTAAAGGTAAAGACCTGGATTACAATTTAGGAGACCTCTAGCCTTTATCTTAATGTCATCAATTTTATTAGCTAACTGTGTGAATTTGAATAAAGCTACTCAATATTGGGGTCAGCAGGTGGCATGGTTATTAAGGCACTGGACTCCCACATGGTCTACTGTGGTTTAAGTCCTGGACCTGGTGGCTTGATAATCACACCAGGTGTGTGTGTGTGTGTGTGTGTGTGGGTGTGTGTGTGCCCAAAATTCCAGCAAGGGAATGGGAAGGGATTGTGGCATGGCCACTCTCTGGGAGAGGGGGTGATTTCTTACTCTCCCTCTCACTGTCTCTTTGTCCCTCTATCTCTGGTGAATGTACTCTCCCTATGGCAAAAACCTAAAGAAAAACAAAAAACTACTCAATATTTGTTGACTTTATCCTCTAATAAAATGGTAATACTTATATGAAGCTTGTCTCTGTCAGAGAGATGTTGTAGGGATTGGTGAAAATGTGTAAAGGTCATATTTCTATTATAATGTCATATATCAAATATCTGTCTAATGAAACGCACATTTCTATTTGATATACAATCGTCAAGTGTCCTCATATAATAGAAATACAAAGTCATGGTTTCCTAGTCACATAACACCAGGCACATCAAGACTCAAAGACTTTATATCTTTAACTGAAAAGTTGTCCTAGTCATTTATGACCTATGGGTCAAATTATTTTACATATAAGGAAGTGCCTGTACATTTGGAAAATACTTAAGTAAAATATTCTCATGATCATTATTCACATAATTTAAAAATTTGGCTTTTTGGTAATCGTTGCCTAATTGCGTATTTTGGAAAATTAGTATCTCAAAGGTAAACTTTCTTGTACTAAATACTTCATGTGGGATATAATGGTTCATATATTGTAATACATTTGTTGGTTACCTTTCTTCTTATTAGGACATTCCTTTCATCAGTCAGCCATGGATGTTATTATAGACACCTCCAAATTTTTGGGAAAATTTCTATATTACTTTTTAGAATCTTTGTCTTACAAAATAATTCCCAAGAGAAAAAAAAATGTTGCTGGAGAGATTGTACTTATAACCGGATCTGGAAGTGGACTTGGGAGGCTATTGGCTATGCATTTTGCTAGTCTTGGAGCCACTTTGGTCCTATGGGACATTAATGAAGAAGGCAATATGGAGACATGTAGACTGGCCAAAGGAAAGGGCCGTGCGAAAGTATTTGCCTATAAGTGTGACTGTAGCAACAGAGAAGAGGTCTACAGAGTTGCTGATCAGGTAAGCTCAATGGAGTTCTTTGCTTCTATGTCCAAGTAAAATATTTAATCTCATATGCACTTTCACAAAGAGAGGAGAGAATTTTTTTATTAATTTCTCTCCAAGATTTCTATGTATAGCCTGCTTGATTCTGCATGTCAAAAACCCTACTTCGTAACCTCCCAAAAGGAGCATAACATAAAACAATGCCCA